AGCAGTACTGTCTCAACCGGCCGGGGTGATAGAGTATGCCAGTAGAGTGCTGACGGCTGCAGAGCAGAAGTATTCGACGACAGAGAAAGAATGCCTCGCTATCGTATGGGCTCTGGAGAAATGGAGAACGTATCTCCTAGCTAATGAATTCCGCGTCATCACGGACCACAAGCCGCTGTCGTGGTTGATGACCTCGAAAGACCCGCGGGGGCGCCTCGCACGATGGGCATACAGACTACAGGAATTTACGTTTACAATCGAACACGTAGATGGAACGAAGAACATATTACCGGACATGCTGTCGCGGCCAACTTTGGATGCTCTCATGCCAGAAATGGCCATACCGGTGTGTGCGGTCACGGCTGAGGATAGGAGTCTACTGGAGAATCAGAAAACAGAGGAATTTGTGCGATTACTTTGCGAGCATTTGCAAGCAGGCACCAAGCCAGACGCACAATCGGGTGAAATGAATGATCTCCTCAAGATCTGGGACCAACTTCATGTCGTGAATGGCAATTTGCTTGTGTCAGTAAACGGGAAGAAAGTACCTTATATTCCACAAACGTCCCGAGAACGTGTGATCCAAATGACCCATGATAACGCTCATATGGGCTTCGAACGAGTTTATGATTTGCTACGGAGAAGAGTATTTTGGCCAACCATGAGAAAGGATGTAGCGGCGTATATCCGGAGATGCCCAAACTGCCAGAAATGTCACGAGATGGATGCGCCGAGACCACCAATGAAATCAGTTGAAGTCAACGAACCACTACAGTGCTGGGGATTGGACGTCTTTGGACCGTTACCGGTGAGTCGATGGGGAAATAGCTACGTTCTGGTTATGATCGATCACTTTACGCGATGGGTGGAAGCCGTACCCATAAAAGACCAGACAGGCGAGACCGTGGCGCGTGCATTCGAATTCAACGTGCCAGCGAGGTATGGGATACCACAATATGTTATTACGGATCAGGGTCCATGCTTTGAATCGAAGGCATTTCAAACGTTATTAAACAAGTGGGGCATCGAGAGACGGCGTACATCACCCTACCATCCTCAAGCCAATGGAATGACGGAGCGATTCAACCGAACCATGAAGGAATGGATAACGTGCACAAAGTTGGCGTGGGAGGATGCCTTACCTGAGGTTCTGCTGTCGTATCGTGCCAGCATGCAGTCAACCACCAAGGTTTCGCCATTTGAGCTACAGTTTGGTAGAGAGCCCCGAATTGCACTCGATACATGTATATCGGAGGTGTGTGAACAGCAACATCCAGCACCACATCACAAAAGATTGCAGGATACGGCCAGAAGAGGAACGAGATCACGGCAACAACGGAACAAGCTAAACTACGACGCCCGATATGCGACTCACAAGTGGAGACCATTCAACATCGGAGATCAAGACCTTGTCAACATGCACATCAAGCGGAGCTACACAGGGGATGTCACGCAACAGCCAATCAATTGAAATGAAATGTCCAATAAAATAGATCGTATGCACTGTAAGGATTTGCCGCTACATTGTCATGTGAAATAAATGGATTATCAAAATAGCCGTGATAGATTCAGGATTGCGCATAAGAGACCAAGACTTGTGTAAGAAAAGACGAAAATTAGCAAAGTTAACCACCTTTTCTTTAAGCGAAATGTGCAATTTAATTGATTATTCAGGTACACATTAAAATTAGTAAGCAAATAGCACTTAGACAAGGTAGCAAACCACCCACCTGAAATAAAGAAACTCAGCACAAAAGCACGCGGTTAATAGATCGAATGCAGCGTACCTACAAACTGCGCCGGTTCTGCCTACGTTCTCTGCAGGACTCGTCGTCGTTTTGATGCTGGACCCGAGTGGCCTCACTCGTGACTGACTGAAGCATTCGCGACCGCACGCGCTACAGCATCATGCGCTCGATGTCGATGGCGTACAGCCCATCGGCGCCTGTCGCTTCCGCACTTGTCGCTTTTTCTCCGCATGCATGAGGGCTTTCTCTTTCACCTCGGCAACTACCTTTGTGATTTGGTCGCGCCATGCACGCCGATCAACCAACATGACCTGCAATCAACATTAGAAGGTGATACGCTCAGTTTGATTATATCCTAGTATCGTAACTTCTTTTTTCTCACGTGCCGTTTCCCTACACTCACTTGGCCATAAAGCAGCTATTTCGGTATCCGGGTCAAATCCATACGGCGAATATGGCCGAGTCACCTCAAGTGTCTCAGCAGAATTATGCAGTCCACTGCATACATGCTACTGTGTCGGAGCATCTCCGTGTCTGCAACTCGGTCACTCCAGCCGATGCGCATAATACGGCGCAGACACTGCTGATGGAAGCGCTCCAGATATCTGACATCCTTCCGATAAAGCGTCCAGGTTTCGCTGCCGTATAGAAGAACGGACAGCACCATAGACTTATATACCAGCAGCTTCGTCCCAACAGTGAGCTGGTGGTTGTTCCACACACGGCATTCCAGCTTGCCAAAAGCAGCAGCCGCCTTCGATAAGAGGCTGCGTGACTCGCACACCTGCTGGTCGGTTGTTATTACGCTACAAGGTAGCGAAATCCCAAACTTGTTACCAACATTTCCTCGGCAATCTGGATTTGGGGCCGACCCACGAACTTCATTCCCGTTGAAGGCTGGAAAAGACAGAGTCTTGTTTGTGTAGATGGTGAGCTCGAATTTGGCAGCTGTCGAAGTCAGAGCACTAGTCATGCGCCGCAACTCATCCACGCTGTGCGCGAAGAACGCATAGTCGTCAGCAAATAGCAACATACGGATAGTTGTCTCACAGACTAGGGTTCTCGCACGAAACGACGGATGTTCAGCAACTCATCATCAATACGGTGCTCCACACGAACACCGTAAGCACAAGCCGCATCAAAAGCACGACATCATTGCATTAAGATAGGTAAAACAGGATAGGAGCTATGACACTACCTTCCTTCAAACCAGAGACAACTGCAAAGTCATACCGGGTCTCTACACTCAGCTGCACCTTCGCTCGAATATCACTGTGCAGACATTCAATTAAACTTACAAACTTACGCGGGCAACCAAACTTACCCAACACCAGCCACAATGCCTCGCGGTTCACCGTATCAAATGCCTTGGTGAAATCAACAAAAAGCGAGTACAATGGCTGGTGTCGTTCTCTGCACTTCTCTTGCAACTGACGAGCCGCAAACACCATATCTATAGTACTGCGACCCGAACGGAATCCGCATTGCTCTTCCGCCACGTTAGGTTCCACAACCTGACTGACGAGGCGGTTGAGCAGGATTCGGGCAATCACCTTGCCCACACAACTCAGCAAGTTGATGCCACGATACTTCGTGCAACATTGCTTGCTCCTTTTTCCCTTGTACCATTGTAATACAAGGGCATCCTTCAGCTCAGGAGGCACCTTCTCCTCAATCCATACACGTTGTACCAAGTGGTGCAGCTCAATCAACAACGCAAATCCACCGTGTTTCAATAATTCAGGCGGGATCCCGTCGGCACTGATACACTTGCCGTTTCGCAGCAGAGGAAGTGCTCTCTGCGTCTCATCCAGTGTCGGCGTGTCCGCCAGACTCGCCTTCACATCGTGCTGCTTGAGGCCGTTCAATGTAGGCCAGTCGATCTCTGAACGGTTGTTCAAGTGGCAGACAAAGTGTTTCCGCCAGATCTGTATTATGTCTGCAGTCTGGGTGCAGGTATCGCCTGAGCTACCATCGACTAGTGTCCTCAGTGCTGCAACATTGGTCCATACACCGCCTTCAGGGAGACAAAGAGTTCCTGGTTTTGGTTACGTTCGGCGTAGCATTCCATCCGCTTCACCTTCCCCGTCCACCATGCATCTTAAATCGACGGAGCTCTCGGGTCAGTCGCCGTCGAAGTTTGCGAAACTAACTATTCTTCCCCACGTCACTGGGGTCTGCGACTTGTGCAGCAAATGCTGTATTCTTCTCACATACCCATGTGCCAATCGTCGCATTTTTCTCCTGGAACAAATTACGTCGCTTGCAATGTGCGCGCCCGATGGTCTCCTCGGCAGCAGCTATCACCTGGTCACGAATGTGATGCCACAGGTCGCGCACTGTGTCTATGCATTCTACATCACACAGGCATACATCCATCGCCTTCTCCAGCTTAATACACTTCGCCACAGTACCGAGGGAGAGAATATTAGATTTATGTCGATTCACTGCGGGAGTGCAATACATAGATTTACGAAATTATAACTACAATTTGGTCCGTACGAATTTGTAATCAGTGCCACACTGCGCAATACACGTGTCATGCACAGTTCACGCATGTCACGCTGACGTACGATAACCTAGCCGAGCAGGTGGGCGTGACCACTCCGTGCGTGAGTCCACTCGCACTCATTGCAAACTGAGTCTACGTGATCGTCAGGTCGTGAATTGCACACAGTGAGGGCAGCCTGTCACTGTTTGCATTCGCTGAACCAATGCCATGCGAACCGATAACAACTGTCCACACCTATGCATCACGCCCAACGCCCGTGTTGAAATCACCCAGTATAAATAGTCGGTCGTTCCTCTGCACAGACCGTATCACGGAGGGTAGCTGAGTGTAGAATTGATCACGTGTGTCATCAGAATAACGCATGATCAGACCGTACGTGTTTATAAAAGTGGCCAGCTCACCTCTTCCGAGTCATAGGCGAGCATTCATCAGTGGCGCGCTGATGCCATTTAAGCGATCGGGGATTGCAAATCCGATCCCATGTTCATGTGGTGTTGAGGCGGAGTTACCCACGCAATATAACGTATAGCCAGCACCAGTTTTCCGGAGCACCAGCTTCATGTAACTTACCTTGCTCAGCGAGCCGTGTCTCAGTGTTTTGCTCTTCATATATATATATATATATATATATATATATATATATATATACACGTATAGTCATACATAAGTATGCAAATCTTAGGTCGCATTCTAAATCCTGTACCTACTGTATCAACTACCGATTTTCTCTTATTTCGTAGGCCAAATATGCGCGTGACCTCGGAAAAGCGCGTTCGGTTTGGTCGCGTTTGATGCAGCAACCTGGGCGGGGTACGAAAACGAGCCTGTGGCTCGCCTATTTAACTTTCGAGTGGTAAGTAAGAAGTTTTTGTGAGGTCGTTGCATATATTGATAGGATTGAGTTTATCTGCCTCTGCTTCGTTGGTATTGTGGCACACCTCATTTCCGACAGAAGCTGACCAGCTCATGCTGGTCACATCCCGTGTATTAAACCGCCGACGGACAATTTCATCACTTCATTGACCAGTTGTCCTATTCACTCCTATCACTTGTTGCTTGGCTGAAACGCGGTCCTAACTCGCTGTATGGAAGATACCTTCCTCCTGGTTCACAACAAATTTGCCTTCGAATTCACAGACTGTTTTATTCTCGGCAGTGTGAGGCGCGCCTGCAAAGGCAATATCATGATAGTGCAATCACGTACACAAATGTACAAGTGTACGAAAATTTCACTAGTTAACCAGTGACATACTGGATCTGTGTGTATGTTGATGTTGTATCCACGATGCTTCTTCACCGCAGTTATGCTAAACCGACTTACACATAAACCAGATCTTTTTAATCTGAATATGGGTTATTCGTGTTTATTTGATTTGTTCGGTTCTCTTCTTTTGCTACATATTCTGTGTCATTTCTGCGTTCTTACCTTCCCTCAAATTCTGTTTTGGTTGTTTGATATCCACGATGTGGCTGCGCTTGATGTGTATATTGACAAGGTGCCTCCCCCTCCACTGTCGGCTCCAGGAGACTGTGAATCTTAACTGGGGGGGGGGACTGGATGCACGGTGGTCGTGGCTGTGCCAGGCTCAAGGAGTGGTTCCATGCATCCAGTGTGGAACGGACCACGGCCCAGCCACCGCCTTGTGCACCTTTGGTACTCATGAATTTCAATTTTGATACTTAGGAGTGCTGCTGTTGTTCATGTTAAATGAGTGTGGGCCGGCTCCGCTCCCATTCTCCGACTCCCATTCTCATGCCTCCTAGTCTTATTCCTCGGGGTTTACACTGGATATTGGGTGTGTGGATGGAACTGTGTGTGGTGCAGCGCAAACCACCCATGGTACCTCTGTAGACGCAGGCGTCCTGTGGCCGTCTCCGTGGAGGCCACAATGACAGGCACATCCGGACACGGATGCCGCCAATGCAGGTCTATGTGTAAGTGGACATGGTGAGTGAATTTGTTAATGTGACTCTGATTTTGTGATTTTGTTCGGTGTACTCGCCTTCGTATCAAGGGATCAAAGGAACTCTTCACATTGGATGACGTTCCTGAATTGGGAAATGTTCTCCGGAAAGGGGAGAAGCAGTGATTTTATTTCTTATTAAGTCACATCCGCCACGCCGCAGTGTTGTTAGAGGGACCTTTGTGGCTTTATATAGGGAGAACGCTTGCCAGGTGGAAACCCATTATGTCCTAGAACACTGCCACCGAAGTATTCGCTGTAAACGGTGGATGCCGAAGCACCCAGCTGACACCACGGGCAGGTTATTCGGCATGACTTCCACTGCAACAACCGCTCGCGCAGCTTGTTTATGGTTTTCACTGCATCGACAAGCGGATGTAATAGATAAGGCAAGACAGTATCACGATATAATGACATGCGGGATGATCAACTTTTGAATTTCGAACGCATATAAGAGAAAGGTAGCGCTTTTGAAAGAGCAATGTGAAGGGAATGAAAGTGATCAGCTAGTACCGTAGAAGAAACATTTTCGCAAATATCACAAAGTCTAAATGTGAACAAATCTACTAACGAATTTGTTCCATTTACACAAGCACCGAGAAGTGTCTAAATCGCACACAAAACAGCGTTTCCACTGGAATAAAGAAACAACTGAACACATCGCTAACGGAGTCGCTGTGTTTTGTGTGCGGCTTAGACAATGGTCGTGACTTGTGTAAAGGGGAGCCGATTTACAGTGAATCCTGGGATAGAGATAGCGAGCTAGGGAATGCACTACATGGTGAATGTGGACGTCCGTACGATTATTTACTTAACCTTGTGCGTCGAAGATATCTTCTGAATGGGTAGTTAATAGCCTTTCGATATTCGCACGGGTGCAGTTTGTAAACCCCAGTTTTGGTGAGTTCGCGCGTTCGCAAGATACATTTCTTGAGTTCAGACGGATGTTAATAAAGGCCTTAGAAGTTTACTTGTCTAAGTCTTAGTTCCTATCATTACCACATTTAACAACGTAGAATCATTATGACAAACGCCATAATATTTTATGTGACGGAATATTGCACACTCAAGTCGCGTTGAGAGATATATGTGCCTTAGATTAATCGGCTGTTTGGCGGTATTTCGCACTTGTACGACTGGCATTGACATTTGTTCCAAATGGCACCAGGATTCAAGCGCCGATCAATTGTCGCGACACTCGATCACCTTGTCCACAGTATCGGCTCAGTGTAACACTTAGTCATGTGGACCACTCCGGCTGATGAGTTACTTTCTATCAGACAAGTGGACAGGCACAGCCCTCTATGTCAAAAGTGATAACATCCATAGATCCACGCCAACTGACCCTCAGTTGTTTACGCATGTTATTGGGTCAAACGATGGATCATCCAAACGATCAAAACATGATCCAAATCATGTTGGATAGCGTTTCGGGCCTTTTATCACGTAAATTAAACAGGGTTTGCTGTAGGAAAAGTTGACTTAAAACCTAACATACCGCTTCCGAACCGGTTGTTGTGGGTTCCGAACTTGACAGACCAACTTCCAATCGGTTAACGAAGGAACGCACCAGTACACTTTAATACAGCGGACAAACATCGCACAGACGGTTTTGATTAGGCACGCGATTCATTTGCTCAGCTTTTCTATGACGATATCTTGTTTTACAATGGACGTGTTCGCGAACTTGCATCTGCGCATCTCTCAGTTCCTCTCACCCTTGGAAAAGGCTGACATGACGTGCTCAGTAATTTTCTATTCCCTACTATTCAACCATCCCATACTGTGATATATCTGATTGTTACTCCATCCGGCAAACTCACTGGGTCCCACAATGCACTTGCCCAGCATCCTAGTTTTCCGAATAAAGAAACCATGTCTACATTGTCTCAGGCTTATCATGGACGAGTAAGCCGCGGCGGATACCAGCACGAAGAAGACCATACGCTAAACATATTATTTGGACATGGCTCACTGGAAGCCGGTTCCGTGTCACTGCCTTGCGCTAGACATCAGATATCGCTTCAACCCCGTACGAACGCATAACCTTACGTCCGTACATACATATTTTGCCTAGACTTTGAATACCCACGCCTCCCTACGCACTTCCAGTGACATATGCTATACAACCAGATGCGTAAAATATAGGCCAGCAACGTGATCAAAACATATTATTATTTTCTTAAAAAATTAGGAAAATATACACGAAAAGGCTACATAACTAAATTAACAACAATACTGAGCGACGAGACCAAGTTTTCTTGCAGCACATGGGAAATAGGCCAGACGGAACAAATTGAAACACAGGTCACTAAGAGCTTGCAAGAACTCCGGACTAAGGGGTATATTCCAGATGCCCTGTATGACAGCGTCAAATCTAGTGGCACAAACGCTCCAAGCCTTTACGGTTGCCGAAAATCCACAAAGCTAACATTCCCCTCCGTCCCATGTTGTCAATGGTCAACTCGCCTTACCATATGATCGCTCAGTGGCTTGTAGAAATTCTGGAACCGGTGCGACAGCAGTTTGCAACTTACAGCCTACGTGACAGCTTCCAGTTCGCAGAAAGCATTAAAAATGCAAAAATTGACGGAAGTGATGCTCTCTTTGGATGTTGTCTCGCTTCTTACCAACGTCCCGCTGACTGAGACAATAGATTACATCTGTGACTATATAACCCAGTCAAAAATAAAAGGTGTATACCTACTCGTGAGCTAAAAAGCCTACTGTTGCGCTGCACCTGGAATGTACAGTTCCTATTTAACAGCAAATACTACCGGCAGAAGGACGGCGTGGCCATGGGATCTCCCCTGGGTCCACTGCTGGCGGATCTCTTCATGGCCAAGTTGGAGAGAACAAAATTGCAGGCGGATCTAGTCACTTTTAGCCACAACTGTCGGTACATCGACGATATATTCGTTGTGGCGGATGTGCACGTTAACCTAGATGTAATTCTTAACCGTTTTAACCGAGCACTATACTTTTGAAAAAGAAGCCGAAGATAAGCTGCCGTATCTTGATGTTCTGTTAACTAGGAGACCAGACGACTCAATCCAACGTCAGGTCTACAGAAAGCTAACATGGATTGGCCAGTATACGAATTTCCACAGCTTCGTTCCTCTGAGATATAAGTGCAACTTGATTCACTGTCTTACCACGAGAGCACGTCAAATCTGCTCGGAATATACCCTAAATGTGGAACTAACGTTTATACAGGATGTGTTGCGCGAAAATGGATACCCTGACAGATTTATTTTAAGAAACCTTGGGGAAAAGCCTAAACAACTGCCAGTGTTAACGGCGGCAAAGAAAAACTATTCAAACGACTACCTGTCAAAGCGGACGCTGTTACTGAGTCTTTAACCCGAAGTCTTTCTGACGTAATTAAGTCAACCTTCGCAGCAGCTATGTTAAAGTGCGTTTTCGACTGAACCACTCGTTCGTTCACGAAACAAGGATAGGTTGTTCATGCTGACCGCCTCAATGGTTATGTATCAGTTCGAGTGCGCCTGTGGCGCAACGTATATCGGTCGTACGGCGCGGCACTTGTCCAAGCGTGTGAATGAACATTGCCCACGTTGGTTACATCAAGGTGGCACCGGGGCCATTAGTAGTTCCATTATGGCACATATTGTCGACACTGGGCATCAGGTGGATCTAAAGCGTACCTTTAGAAGTGTATACAAGGTTCCATCGTACCATTCGAAAGGTCAACGCCTTCGTACACTTGCGACCGCAGAAGCAATTTGCATTCGGTTATTTCAACCGACCTTATGCTCGCAAAAGAAGCTAGTCCAGGCTCTACAGCTTCCCTGGCCCGAGAAAACGGGGGATACTGAGGTCAACGACATGAGGTCAAACTCCGTAACATGTAATTAACTCGTTTCGA